TTCTTCAAAATTTGTCTATAGTCCAACTTCCCTGAAGCGCAAAAAACTTTACAGGATTTCATTATAATATTCTCAAACATTTTGTTTTGCATCTTTTCTCAGCGTTTATTTCAGAATTCTTCTAAAATCAAAATAATTTGATTGATTGAGATTCTCTCTGAGAGCAAAAAAAAATATTTATAGCAGTCTACAAATTTTACAGCTTTTCTAGGAATTTGCTGAAGATTACTGCTAAAATTCTACTCAAAATTAGCTTTAATTCTCATTTAAATTCCCAAACAATTCACTTCAGAATTATCTTGAATTTCTTTACGCAAAAATCTCAGGGAAGGTTATTTAGCAAAATAAGTAGACACCCTTCATAATAAGAGATAAATAATTAATATTGACGGCAAGATGTGATTCTGAAACTTACTGATTTGTTCCAAGTTCTCAACATCAGGTAGGGTAACTTTGACATAAAGTCATTTTAACTGTCATAATACCGAACCTGCCAAATGCTTGTCGAAGCTGTGACACAGCCCACCCGTATGGATAGCGTGAAGCGAGCAATTGCAATTCACTTTCAATATTGCATTTAAATTAAATACGGCATTTCCAGATTTCAATTCCAATATAAATGTTTAAAATGTAAGCATCTGAGTCATACTGTACTGGTAATCATACTTCGAAATATTTTGCAACTAATAGGGGGAGAGGTAGCTCATCGATTCTTCCGGTTCGCCTCCTAGCATCGTGCTATAAGGTACCAGGTGATAACCAGGGTAGTTGATCGATAGCTCGATGACGTCATTTCGTTGGCGTCTGCAATGGGAAATTATCATAGCAGGCGTTGACGATGGGACGTTGTCGAGTTGTTGAATAGCAACTATCGTGGTAACTCACCGATTACCTGTCGATCTGCCAAATTTGGAAATACGTCTGCATTGAATTGTCTCATATAATAATATTCCGCCCACTATATCACAAGAAATTGCGAGTAGCTGAGTGGAATGGAGATAAGTTAAGAATTGGGTACAGGACCAAGTCTCCCCTGGGTGGTGCCAAAAGATGAGCGCAATAGAATCATCAAGTTGCCATAAGGCACGGAATGAGACTATTGCATGGCTGGGTAGTCAAAATCTTCCATTCGTTAGTCATTTCAGGTGGATTAGAACAGGTTTAGGTGGGCGTTGGCCAGATTTGGATTTTTCAGATGTAATCCTGGATAGGACCCTGTCATTGAACGTCGCGTGAAAGTGGAACTTAATGAAGGCCTAAGTACTTTTTCGTAGTTTTTAGTTTTTGGATTTGAAAGATCGTCGGTTACAGTGCTTACTGAGTAGAAAAACGCGGTCCCAGGTCCTTACATATCAAAGAGATTTATGGTAAAATCGCTTGTGTATCGTGTATTTTGCGGAAACTCGTTGTTGTCGTTGGTTCCGGGTTTGAATGGATACACGGTAACGGTATTATGTGATATGAGGGGCTCGGTGGCCTTAGAGCAACCGTTTTTGCTTACTGAGCAGAACATAATGAGTCTAATCTCAAGCCAATCCACATTCAAGATTCGTCAATCGTTTTATTTGTTAATATGACTACATGGTAATAACAGCAACTCGGTGATTAAAAAGGTGCTCGTCTACCTAGTGGCAAACGTTTTTACTTACTGAGCAGAAGACCGTGGGTTTAGTCCAAAGCTCCTTCTCGTTATACGATCGTAAGGACATCAATTCAGGTTATCGTTTACCAAAACGAACCCTGCTGCAAACCCAACCCTCTTATCCAACATCCCAGTGATTCCTCGTGGAAGTGCAGAGGTGTTCTCGGCTTCCATCAAAGCAAGTGTCATGTCAACACAATCCTTCCCATTCCTTTCTTGACCTGTGTTCGGGCGCGGCCGGCGCTGGTATTGCCTAATTTAAGATCACCAGTTTTTACACATTGAGGATGATTGCTAGTCCCAAGCATCGTCTATTGGTTCTCTGTGTAATTACAGCTGATCTGGCAGTAACAGAGTAGCAACCGTGGGCGGTCAATCAAGCTCAAGCAAGCTCAAGCTTCAAAATATTTTGCAACTAATAATGGAAAACTGGATAAAACTGAATAGATTCTAAAAAACTGGAACATTTCAAACATTAACTGGCATCACTGCTCTGTACATCACAAAATACGATAAATTGAAAATCGTATTCCGTATTGGTAGCACATCAGTCCCTTCGTGATTTTCGCGACATCTTTTAATGTTTCCGCGATTTTTGTAACTGAAAGTTCAAATCAACTACAAATCCGCGGAAATCGCGAAATGAGCGCCTGTTGTAACAGCCCTGTATTTGGTATTCATTGACTACGGAAAAACTTTCGACCGACGCAATCAAGAAAATCTGTGTGATAACCTGAGACGCAAAGCAACCTTGGCCCATCCGATCCGGATAGTCGCAGATGTGTACTATCACCACTACTGTTCCTCGTCGTAATAGACGAGATCATGATAGGTGTAATTGACCGTGTACCGAATCGCGGCTAAGACTACGGAGCATCTCAACGCGCTATTAGCACAACGGCGCTCTGATATGCAAAGTAAGCTCAACGACCTAGCCGAACGCCCTCTACGACGGTTCTCACCATCAACGTCAATAAGACCAAATCGTTGGATGTCAAAATGACAACTTGTACATGATATTTGCTGATTTATAATTTTTACAAGAATTCTCATGTAAATTCACACCAAATCTAGCGTAAGTATACGGTAGATCACGTGCACTTAAGAGAGAAATCTGGTGAAAATCGTCAAAATTGTGTACAACTTACAAGCACGAAATATTGCTGTTTAGACCAAGTTTAGCTCAAAATTACATGAGGAAGATTTTACGAGACGACGACATGGATCATTCAAATCAAATAAGGTTGAACCATCACCAAGACCTCTTTTCCTGTTCTTTCAAACCTCTATGCCTGCGGCGAACGATGAATCGAATATTTCCATTGCTATTTATTAAAGCTAAATATAAATCCACTGTACAATCGTACGAAACACTAAAGCAACAACGAACCACCACATTGTTGCGATACCATCAGTGGACACAGAAAAGTTGCAGCAAATTGGTACAACGCAAGAAATGTCATATCCTGGTTGTGACAATGTTCCTTTCGCGTGCTAAAAACTATTGACACAAAGAGCTGGACGCTTCCTATGCATTGCGCTCACCAATCGATTCCAATGTCCAGCCTTCATGCTAGGAATACCTACAGGATTATCGAACCAATCTCTGTAGCACTCGGTTGTGTCTGCAATCAATGAAATTTCCCACACATGGATGTTTGTTGTTATGCATGTACTTCGGGGGACATTAACGTCTAGCTAATATACATGCGAGGGTGGTTAAAAAAAGCCTTCGTCCTCGCCACGCGAACTTGGTCATTTGTGGAGGACACACTCTTGTCACATTGGACCTCGGAGGTAGCTTAGGACATTCGGACGGCATTACTATAATTCAGCGATAACGATGTATGTGGTGTTCATTGGTGACGACCAGACGGCACATAAACTGAAAACGACATACGAGAAAAGTTTTTTGTTTCGTTCTATCGTGGTTGTTGCGCAAAACAAAGCTTTTTTTTATATGTATTAGAAGATCACTTATCGGTTGGTTCGTGAGCTAGAGTGGGTCGTAAAGGGTTATTAGGGTCCAGCAATTAGAGCTGTGTGGTTTAGGATATCGGATTATGGATTTTTCTGTGCAGTGTGTGCGCCTTCCGCTCGACTTTCCGTGACACACGTGGCATGACAAATGATGTTTCGACGGGAAATTAATAATTTTATCATAAAAGATATATGAACTAAAAACGATTAGAAGGGAACGGTCAAGGGCAATGCAGTTTTTGTCGACATTTGTCAAAGAACAAAGACAAAGAATGTAAGATTTGAATTTTTGAGCCGCATATTAAGAAACCGGATAGAAAGAAAATATGCATTAAATTCTCCTATTTTGATTTAAATTAATTAAAAATCTAGCACTTTTGATAAAAAGTATTTTTATATAATTTCTCACTAAAAAATTGAGTTTTTTCAACTGCTGAAAGGAAAATATAGCCAAACATATAAAGTGGAATTAATTATTATAAGTAATGTCTTATGGTTTTTATTTTTCATAAAATCGCGGAGCACCTTGCTTAACTCAACTTTTCAGAAATACATGTATCACAAATTAAATCCAAAATTGTGAGCAAACTCTACTGCCTATAATCGCATATCAGTCCCATACGGATTTTCGTCAATGTTGAGATAACAACGCTATCCACTATGAATTGGCATCTACTTCCATACTATGTGTTAAACTACGGGCTAAGATCATGGAAAATGTGAAAACAAAATCAAGTTAGTTTGTATTCAAACTAAGTAATCACATATTATTCACATCCTGAAATACAATCGTCAAGAGGTCAAGTTACAGTTCTGATTTTTTAATAGCCATATTTTTTTTTCTGATGATATAACAAATCATGCAAGCTTCATTGCAACTGATTTCAACTTTAACTATTTACATGGGAATTGCACTTCGTAACTTCGGCTGCCATTTACTAAATGCCTACTTTTTCCATATGAGACTGATGTGTGATTATAGGCAGTATAGATAAGTGGCAAAATGTCCACCATTGAAATAAATAGGCTGTTTTATCCTAGCACTGACGGTCTTGACCATAAGTAGAAGGTAAGCAAAGTTGATACACAGCATGAAAAAGGAGTAATCTCCAAATTAGATTCATCTAATTACATTTTAAATCAAATATTTTGGCCACACGAAACTCGCTCCCTGGACAACTGTGCACATAAAACAACCCATGTATACAGTCAGCCATAGCATACGCTATTCGCACGATGCAATTGCAAAGTTCCCCTTGTAAACAATCTTGTATGCAAGTGCTCGCCTCTCCGAGGAAAAGAGACAACCAAAAAAGCCTCCCACACAATTTACCATCGAAATAAAAAGAGAGCTGGAGAAAAAAAAAATCGCACTTACCATTCACCACGTTGAGCCTGCTGATTGCACCTTGTGTAGCATTCTGTGTGGTTACCACCGGTGATGTTGTTGTTGTTGTTGTTATTTGTCCACAAGAGGTGTGGTGTGGGAAGAAGGTTGTGACCGTTGATGCAGCACAGCGTTGGACGATGACGACGACGCCCGGTGGTGGTTGATGATTATGATGATTTCCGAAACATAGCGCACCATGATCATACACAGACCGAGCAGGGCAGCAGCAGCATTGTTCGGGTGACGCGGGCATTGTAGGGTTGCGTTGAAAAGAAGAAACATAATAAAGGGAAAGAAGTACCGTAATTAGTGGTGGTTGCATAGTCCCGCGGCGAAGCGGTAAAGTGGTTATTTTGGAAGGTTGGCAAGCTTGCACAGCAGCGGCTGCAGTGCGCGCCTCCACAACCAGCCATCGTCAGACGAGTGTATTTATGTACATGTGGTGTGGAAATTGAACGCAACAGAACTAAGTTGGAGAGTGTGATTTGCGAAACCAACGAACTAAAGTAGAAACAAAGACCCAGTGGACCAACAATCCGTACAGATAAATCGTGTCGACTATATTTAAGATGGATAGAATATATCAAAGTGATTTAAGTAGTAGGAAAGCGACGAAGTTAGTTCATTTTGTGTATAGAAAGAAAGGAATGAAGACGTAATTAAAAATGCCAGCCATGAAATTGTAGACAGTATACAGAATACAAACAGTAATAAACCACCAAACCAATAATGTTTGTATAACTTCTGATTTTCTAAATATTGATTATTCATAACTTGGTTTTTAGTTATTAGTAGTATAATTATCAACATATATAGGGAAATGGATGTAATGTCGGCCTAAATGCCCCTAAAAAATAACATTGATAAAAAGCAGATTTTTAGCATTGGGCCCAATTTTAGATCCATAAGCCAACATTAGAGCCATTTCCCCTATATAGCCATTCCATAGCAAAACGATATAGTGGCTCTCAGAATTTCGTAAAAATTGGTAGTTTTGTTCCTTATTATATTAGACTCGTATTTTTTTGTTTTGTCATTAAGGTCACCATGTCCATGTTAGGGCGGTCAAAAAAAAAAAATTTTTTTTTTCGAAAATGACTACTTAAAAAAATTCATAGCTTTTGAATCTAGTGGTCCTCTAATTAGCTTTATTTTATGTTTCACATATTTTCCATTCTTCACTAAATATAGGGGAAATGTATGTATGTATGTATGTATGTATGTATGTATGTGTATGTATGTATGTATGTATGTCAGCCTAAGTGTTCCTAATTTCGACCCAACATAATTTCAGTACCGTCCCAATGGCTCGTTCATCTAGATAAAATTGATAAACAACAGATTTTTAGCGATGGGCCCAATCTTAGATCCATTAGCCAACATTAGAGCCATTTCCCCTATACAGTCATTCCATAGAAAAACGATATAGTGGTTCCCAGAATTTCGTAAAAATTGGAAGTTTTGTTCCTTATCGCAAAATATTAGACTTGTATTTTTTGTTTTGTCATTGGGTGACTATTTCCATGTTAGGGTGGTCCAAAAAAATAGATTTTTTCAAAAATTTATAACTTTTGAACCAAGTGGTCCTTTAATTGGCTCTATCTTATATTTCACATATTTTTCATTGTTCACTAAATATATTTCAATACAAAGTTAGGACATATATTTTGCCATATATCTACAGAAATAAAACCCTAAGCATATATTTCAAATTTGATTTAGGCCAATAACTGGAGCGCTAGTGCCATAGCTGGCACACTTACCCTACTTTGATTTTTTTATAATTTGATTTTAGATGCGGATCGTGAAAAATTGAGACACAGAGAAAATTGATTAAAGTCTCGGTCCTCGGACTTAGACGAATTTTGACAATTATAAGACAGTCAATAGTCAATCTAGGATATAGAAAGTTCTGTAACATCCCAAATAGGGTAAATGTTGGCTTCGGCACCCATTGACTGTTTTCGGCAACCAAAATTTAAACGATAATTTCACTATGTTTTCCCATCAACGCACTTCCCTGAATGTGTCCAAACGATTGTTTAGCCTTTCAGCTTCAATCTGATTATATTTGAACGATCGAGCAATCCAGTAATGCTACATTTTTCTTCAAATAAAGCATACGCACTACAAAATGAGGTTGATTTCGAGTTGCCGATAATAGAACAGCTGGTTAACACGCAGTTCTAATGGGAAGGTTGCCGAAGAAAAAGAGACTGCCGACAATAGTCACACTCACCTGAGAAGTTTGGAGCGTTGTAAAAACGCTTTCAAAACGTTTTGAAAAATTCTGTCGATTGGAATGGATAGAGAAGCAAGCAGCAGATGAATGTAAACAAACAGACACATCATATATGTGCGTGACGCTGAGAAAATGCTAGTAGAAGTGCAGACGCTGCTTAGATTGACGAGAATACGTAAATTCCCCTATATTAAAAAAAAACATAACTATAGGAACTAGACAACTTTTCTAGTTTGCATTCTAAGAAAAAAAAAATCGTTCTGGAACGTGGAATATTTTCCAAGATGAAAAAAATCATGGACATACCGTAGAACCCCGTTAGTTTGAAATGCTAAAATTACAATTAAACGGCTCTCATTTAGAATTAGTTTAACTGGTGCCCCAACCAGTGCTGTAAAATGTACACAGTTCTGCTTTGGTCACTCATTTGAGCTAATAGTCATCGTCAAGGCACATCATGTCAATTGTCAGTGAAAATGCTGTCAGTGACAAACATCTTTAGATTTTTTTTATTAACTAAATTGGTAACGAAATAAAATCACTTGACCAAAACAATTAGGGTAACTGATGATGGTTGGACCTATTTAGGACGGTTTCACACGACGTCAACATTCATGTCGTATTTTTTATGAATTCAACATATGATTATAAAAAATGCGTGATTAGGGGAAAGATCTACCTTTGTTGTTTCTAATAATAACATAAAAAGTTAAATATTATGAACAAATGATTTTATAGAACGTTTTTATTCAGCAAAGAATTATGATGTTGGTTGGACCTATACTGATCTTGGTTGGACCTAAAAAATGATGATGGTTGGACCTATTTTTGCAAATGCTAGTTTAGCCGATATTTGTTCAAAAACTGTGTTTAAAGCTTATTGGTATCATGAAAAACCCTTTTTATACAGTTTTTATGAATTTGCTATTTATAAAAATATCAAGAAATTTGAGTTTAACTTCGTTTTTAAAAAAGTTCACTTTCCACGCATTAGCTATTCATCATGGCTCATTTTCTCGGAAATCATTGACCAGATTTGGAAATTTTTTAACGTCAAACTATAGGTATTGTGGTCCCATTGAAAGCTATCGAATATTTTTGGAATCGGTCAACTGGTTCCGGAGATATGGCCGGAACAAGTTCCAGGGTATATGGAACATGGACCAAATTTTGACATGGAAGGAATAAAACCTATCATGCGACACTTCACATTACTTCCAAATTCGATAACAAGATCAATAACAAAATTGAGTGCCTTGGACCACATTGGCCATTTCCGGGCATGTTCTGGGCGCCCCCGAGGAATTAAGGGGCTTAAAATGACCGAATATCAGAACTTAATTCCGGTTTTATGGTTCTTTTTCTCCTAGGAGTTTTTTTTTCGGAAATAAGTTTCAGTTAGAAATTTTTAGTTTGTTAACATTTTATTTCAAGTTAATTCTCACACAGAAGGTGTATGAGAAGTGCTTAATGTAAATTCATATTAACAGATTCTTTCGGCGCTTTCGTGGTAGTTCGGAAATCGGTGGTTACCCTTTCAGCCAACCTGACGATGGAATTCCTCCTTTAAATTTACGCCCAACTAGTGACGCAAGATCTTTAGCAGCTTCCAAGATTTTTTTGGTCGTCTTGGGACTGCCAGAAGCAGCGCACATACAAACCCAATCCGCTAGCTGGTTCTCCAAATCAACACTCAACACTATTTCCCTTCCATATTTCTTGCCGTGGCGCTTCCCTTAATTTTTGCGTGAAGTGTCGTTTTCGGAATATTGTACCTTTTCTGTGCCTGATTGTGATTTATTTCTCACTAAAAGAACAGCCTCTTGAAGATTTTCGACCGTATAACTCTTTTCTTTAGCCATTTTTTCAATCGAAGAAACTGATCACTCGGCCAAAACGAAATCGAATTTCAAATCAGCTGCGCATGAAGGATGTAGACAAACCGAAGCGCACCTAGCGGCCGTCTTAGGAAACACATAGGTCCAACCATCATCATGCGTAGGTCCAACCATGATCATATTTATCTATTCGAATTTCGTCAATTATTCAAACATTTTAGTGAAACCAATGGATAAATGGCGTACTAACGTGTTGTTTACACCTTAAAGCAGTATTTTAGTGCATGAAAATAAAAATAAATGTTAAAAGTATTCCTTTTTTGTGTCTTTGAAAGTAAGGCATAATGACGAGCTAATGCGTGGAAAGTGAACTGTTTTGAAAACACATTGAAACTCAATTGTTTTGAAGTTTTTTTCAATAAAACACCCATGCAAATTGAAGAAAAATAGTTTTTTTATGATAGTAAAGTGATCTTTAAAAAAAAAATTAACGAAGATTAACTAAACTAGCGATTGAAAAAATAGGTCCAACCATCATCAGTTTTTGGATAGGTCCAACCAGAATCAATTACCCTACATGGAGCCATTAAAGTGAACAAGCATCTACGTCCTGAACTGCTTGAATAGCAATAATGTGACTCAGAATGCACGAAGTTACACTTGTTGTTTCCAATGTTGCAAATTTTCGCCATTTCAGTTTTCAGTATTTGAGAGATGCAACTCACAATGTTCATTTTCCTACCAGGCTCTCACTACGAATAGGACAGAGGCAATAACAAAAGTATTCCGACTCAACTCAGCGGCAGGGTTGCCAAAAGTAAATCTGTGTTTTTGCCCAAAAAAATCCTTTCATCTTAGATTTTATCCAGAAAATCTGTGATGATATCTGTGTTGATATTTAAAAAATTCAGTGTTCACTCGGCTGTCGACAAAAGCAGGCCACTCTCGATG